AACTGCTGTAAAACTGCATTCTGTAACAAAGAAAGCTGTGCAATTTTGTAATTAGTTTAATTGAAACTACACTGAAGTAATAAACATAAAAATGTTCATTTTTATTTAGGCAGATGGTAAGCTTTAAGATGTTGAAGTTGTAATGATCTGAAATCTAAAATTAACATTTTAAAACCAGCTGATGAAATAAATAAAAAAAAAGTTACGTTTAATAAAAAAGAAAAGGGGAATTAATGAAATACTATTATGTGTGTTTTATGTACTCTACATAAAACACACACACACACAGGAAAATCTTGCACCTCCAAAATCCATCACCGGCATTTTAACAAATAACCATCAGTTCTCATATAAAACATTAAATTCTCCATCTTCTTTATGACTTTTTATTCTTGCACATGCCTATTTTTGTACTCTTGCTTTCTGAAAACCTCTTCAGATATGGGTCTTTAATAGAGCCAATCTTTAAAAATGTGACTTTGAACTTCCTTTCGCAAATTGTTTGTGATGCATTTGAGAGTATTTCCATTTCTTGTTAAGAAGTCCAGGATCTGTTTTCCTCTTCACTTTTTCCAAAGGATTCCAGTGCTGGATAACACGGACAAATTGTAATCAGCAAAACAACCAATATATGTTATTTTCTCAAAATGTTCTTGGGCATTATGCCATGTAACACACTGCTGTTCACTTCAATTTTCATAAGTACCATTTACCTTCCTCAAAAAACGTAGTTCACCTAGAACTTGTAGTTCAGAAAGGAAAATGTCATTCAAGCTGTTCTTGCAGGTTGTATCCATTAGTTGAACAAAATACTTATATCATTTGGTTCAAGATTTTTTTCAGTTCTATAACCCAGTCTTTTGGATCTTTTTCACTCGGATAACCAGCTTGAATTTTCAGGATGTCAATATCTTCTTTTTTAATAGAAGTACTATAAATAATTAACTATAAACCTTTTTCATCTAATTATCCCAAAGAGGTAATTCTCATATTAACTTGTATTGAACTAGTAAATTAAAGCTATTGATGTTGACACACACAAAAGTCACTGCTCTAGCAAGAGATCCAATTTTGGTTCGAATGTAAGATAGCAAAATTTCCAATAGGTAGAGTTAATTTTAAACTATAATCACCAAATATAAAAGAATTAGCTTTACAGAATTTGAATAACAGCACATGCTCAAACAACATTCTTAAAATTTTTCTTTTCTTTCAAAAAAATGTTATAACAATTTCACTTCCTCTTCAATATGAAAATGCTATATTCTCCCCCAAATTAAGTTCTATAAAATGGATAAAATCTTCTTAAAACAAACTTCTGCGCCAGTAAATTCTGTATTATTGGAATAGTGCTAATATTTTCACGACTATTGGTCTTTACCAGCATTGATTCCTCACAATGATTTAAAAAACTATAGCGAAATTACATTATTTTTACATCTGATATATTGAACTGACTCATGTAGATATTCTTTCCTTCAATCACACCAAACCTGATTGAAAAATGGAAGAAAATTCTAACATAAAAATGAATTCATGACGTATGGTATGCAAACTAAATGTGAATTTGAAATCGATGCAGAAATGAGTCAAAATCATTACATCTAAACTATTAAGGCTACAGACTTTTCCAAAAGACTCAAGAATAAAGCTTAAAGAACTCCATGGCAATGTCTTTAAACCTTATAAATTTCCTACCTAGTAAAGAGTCAAGATGGGTTCCTCAAAACCAAGCAAAAGTAGGAAGGCACGACAGTTGAGAAACAAAATGAAATAAATGCAAAGAATAATCACCTGCCAATTATTAAGATTTCAGCAAACTTAAAGATTTAAGATTCAACAGTCCTCTGATGTATTCGTTCAAAAAATAAATATACTTTTAGAAGATAAATTTGAACATATTATTCCAATAATATTTCTGAATTATTCCACCAGCCATTACTTTTGAATTCTTCAATCCTACTCACCTGCACTTCCTATCAAATTGTGCACTAAAACAAATGCACTTTTTTCAGCGATTCATTTTCAGCAGCAAACAAATGAGATTTATCACCAGTAAAATGAAACCTGACTTTTAGAATAATTAGTTTCACTTACTTCAAGTGAACAGTTGATCAGGTATTGTTTTTTAAATAATAGACTACTAGACACGATATTCAATTTTTAAAGAAGTTTAGTCCTCAATACAATAAAAGACTTTAGTTTTCACAAATGCATAACAAAACAATGTATGCCACTGTCTCCAATACAATGGCTAAACATTTTTATCTCTAAAAGAAAGTCCCGACAATAAAAATTCCAGCAGCAATAAAGGGAGATGTGTGAAAAGTCTTTGAAAAATAAAATCAACAATAAATGAAGTAGAGGAATAGGAGAAAGCCCCAAATACAGCAAACTCAAAAGAACGTCATTGAAATAATTCTTGATCTATCTAAATAAATATAAAACAATCCTACTCACGTCATCTTCATAAGAAAAGAGAAACACAACTTAATTTTAAAGTTTTAACATTAGAAATAAAAGCATATTGTAAATTTAACTTCATTCTTGAATGAAGCATAACTGCTATTACTTTATTTCCCTTCATTCATTACAATTTTTTGTTAGTTTTTTCTTAGCAAACAATACATTTCTTTTAACCACATTGATAGTTGGGCGATTTATTGAAAGAAATCAATACAGTACTTTTAGGTATGTACAAAAAATATACAATTTGTATTTCCTTTAGTTTCTTATTTACATTCGAATTTAGGTTAATGAGATGGCTTCTATATGCTCAATCTATTTTTCTATTGTAATAGTAAAATATGCATACTATGACTAGAACATTTTTCTTCATTCTGAAATCAGATTAAATGTGTTGATCTGAATTCATAATACAACATAATTTTGATAGCTGCTGTAAGAACCACCAAAACAGCATACGGATACTTCACAAATATTCTACTTGCAACTAAAACACACACTGTATAAGACGGGAATATAAAAACTGACTCAGAACAAGGAACTGTCTTAATCATGACACCACCCATTAATTCCTGTACGAATGAAAATGCTGATTACGTGTAAAAATACAACTGCCGTATTAAAATTTGTTTTCTTACATTTAACTATCCTGAAGGGTATTAGAGAAATAGCAACTGCCATGAAAACAGATGAGGTATGTCACAAACTCTCAACAATTCAATACATATTCACTAAACATACACATTGTTATTTATGTGAATAATTAGAAAGTTCAATCATTCTCTACTATATACTGCACATAATTTTACCTATTCTAAATAGTATTTTTAATACAAGTTTCTTACAAGCTGCTTCTTAGAAAGAGGCCTGACAAACTTTCTTTTTTTTTTAAATTTTACCTCGATTGTGATAAATGACTCACTTTTTCTAATAAAATGATAAAAGCCAAAACAAAACCTTTCTACATACCTAGATTTCCAAGGAAAAATTGTACCTAAGAAATTAAACAAACTCTTGTTATTGTTTTTTTCATCCTACAACAAAAGGAGTGTCAGGTGACCAGAAACATATTTTTGTACAACTTGTAATGAAGATAAATCAATTATTCTATATTGCAAGCTAAAGTTTCTCTTACAAATTATAAATGACTCTTTAAGTGTTAAATTTAAAAAAAATATAAATTGTATGAATATATGTTACTTTAACAGTTTGTGAAAATTAAGATGTTATTTGCAATTTGTGCATACTATAATCAATTTACAATGAACAAAAATCATTAACAGAATTAAATTGTAAGTTTTCAATAGTAAAATGTTTATTATCTGCATTATTCCCAGCAGTGTCCCACTTGCACAATTTTATTTTTAATTTCTGCAGTTCATTTCTTATGCATTTATGCAATTGCCATGCTTGTAATCATAATATTAAGAAAACACTCTTCCTACAGAAAAATAATTTTTAAATTCACTATGTCAAATATTTAAATAAAAATTTCCAAGATACATATGGATTTTTCAGCAAATAATAGAAATAATAACAAATTTTAATATGAAATGATAAATTAATTTAACAAAAACATACACAAGTTCTCTTTGCAACAAATATTCTGTAATTTTAGACAAAATATTGCTTCTTATAATCAAACCCATCCATCCCTCTTGACTGTAAAATAGTTGCATTAAAAAAAACAAAGCAAATATAAATCATTGTTTATATTTGCAGAATCAACTAATATACAAAATTGTAGTGACTTTATCAGAATCTGCTCATTAAATGTACAAATTAATAGCATGTTTGTTAACGATCCATTAGTTTCCTATACGTATTTCTGAAAACTACGTTCATTCAATATATATATCTATGAAAGATAACAGCATTTTACATGTCATGACTAATGTAAATAATATATAGAAAGTCATAAAAAACAATCATTGAAAACAATAGATAACGAAACAACCTATGTGTTGTAATCATCTCCAGTTATTTGAAAAAATTTCCTCTTTCTATCTCTTAAAACTTATTTTTATAGCAAATTTTGAATAATATGAAACGTTATATAATTTGATTGCACTAACAATAAGAATCAATGATCCAGAACACAACTGTTTTAAGTCCCATTTATTTCAAAATGTGAATATAGGGTTATATGCAAGTTTTATTTTCTTTGAATAAAGAGTGTAAATTTGATTTTAAATATCAGAAATCAAGATGACCTTATTCCATGCCGACTTCCCTTCCTTTTTTTTTCAGGCACATACTGTTTATATGAACACACTTTGGATTTCTTTGAAAATAAATTATTTTCATGAACACAAAAAATTTTACAGGAATACCAGAGTGACTAGAAAAATAAATTCAAGAATTACTGAAGATAAAAAACAAAATTTGCACTCATAAAAGGGTATTCACAAAGTTTAATTATCATTGCAAGAAAAATTGTGCTACTGAATACTGTCAAACAAATTGAAATCAAAGTAAAATGTAGTCTGTAAGTAGAGAAGCCACAATGATAGCAATGTTTCACAGAATATTACTATTATTATTATTATTATTATTATTATTATTACTAGCACATATTTCAACACTGCTGATTTCAAACCAAAGAGAGTACTGCAAAGGTGCATTACATATGCAAGAATACACAGCAAAAGCATTTTCTTATGATGATGGATTATGAAGATTTGCTAAGCTAGTTTTGAGCATGAGTAAAAAAGGTGTTACTATTCTTCAATATTTTGATAATTCTACAATAATTAGTTTGCATAATATAACACTTCAGTGTTCTTCCATAAATAAACTTTTGTGTGATACAATCTAACCAACTATGGTATTAATAACAAGCATGGGTGTTATTTATTATTGCATCAAGGCATTTCTTACCGTTTAGGAAATGATACTGCAAGAGCATTGATGAAAACTTTAGGGCGAATTTCAAAAGAAAACCCATGTAAAAAAAGGTATAATGTAGTTTGATGGAAGTACAAACAAATACAAGTTTCACAGAATCAAAATGCTGACAAGATCATTGCTTTGATAGAATTCTGGGCAGGGGAAATTGTAATGTGTGCAGTAATATAAAGGCACTTTAGAAAAATAGAACTGCACTGATCAATTGTTTTTAAGGGTATCCAGAATTGCAGGTAAAAGAAAAAGTTAGCCAAATGTTGGCAAGTTAAGTGTTAAAGTTTTAAACCAGTTGCCTTATGTGTAAACAAAAGGACTTCCTTAAACATAAGAGCATACGTATTACCGAAATAATATTTTAAAAAAAAACAGATGCTTATTTCCCAATAGTGAATTTCAGAAAGCTGATGTACCATCAAAATTCGATCAAATTGTATCTTTAACCAACAGCTTTTGCCATTAATAGATACAAAATGGACACACACACACAAAAAAAAAAAGTTAAAACATTTTTATGCTTATTAATGGAGGATAGAAAGTCTTGTAATTGTTTGTGGCAGTAAAATAATAATGTTTAACAGTGATATTGAAATGCTTTCCATTTACTCCATATGTATATTTAATTTGGCATACTGAATATAATTCCTAAGCTTTCAACCTTTCAATACCACAATAAATGAGATTAAGGAAAAAACGTATAAGGAGTATGAAAGCAAAATGTTCAATGTTCTGATCCTTTTCCAATATGGTCTATTGATATGTATGGTTTTCTAAGACTATTAGCATTACCCATACATTTCTTATGCACTTCAAACATTTTGATACTTTTATTAATCAAAATGCTTCCTATATGCTGAAGGATTTGACTGAAAGAGATCCATGAGGAATTACATAGTAAGCAAATTAAATTTAATTTCTTTATTGTTTGTTAAATGCTGAAACATTAAATGTTTGTCCTGTAAAATGAAGTAAATGGGACTCACAACAATATGGTTCTAGACCTTCGACACACAGTAATACAAAATTCCTTTGTCTATTCCCCCTAGTCAAAGACACACCAATTAAACTGAATAGAATCATTAGATGGTATTTCAATTTACTCTGCTGTGAGGAACATTTTGTAAATGGCTGCAGAAGCAGTTACACTGCAAAAAACAGTACGGTACAATGGAACTGCAAATCCCACAACAAATACATTGTCACAGGCTTCTGCGATCAGAATCATGCAAATCATCTTGGCTGTCTTGGAGACACTGCATTAAAAGACGCGGTGCCGTCGTTTAAACTACAAGATGGTCGAAACATCAGCACCACAGCCTTAAATGTAGTGTCACCTGTACAGTCAAGATCATTTGCAACAAAACTGATGTTTTCAATTTGTGAGTGTGTCATGACAGAGGCAAACTGTGTATTCTGTTATAATCCTTATCATGTAGGACTTTTAAATCATAACTGCTCAGAAGCGACCTGAATCCATTAACCAGCCAAAAGACTTCACAAAATAAGTTTTACCGTAAAAAGAAAGTTAGTACAATACACAGTTAACTATTCATTTGTGAAAAATAATGTTAATAATAAATTTATTCTAAAAATATAATGTTCTAAAACATAGGGAAGAAAAATATTGGGGACGGGGTTTATCTTATCTGAGAATCCTTCATGATTTGCATGGGTGTATGTTGTTGTTTCTTTTTACAATAATCATCACAATTTCATTTCAAGAAACAGATATAACTTTTACAAATGATTTCTAAATTTTATTTTCATTCTCGTAATGTAACTGTCATCTCTTTCATTAATGTACTGAATGAGCTACAAAAGCTATTCCATTCTTTGAATGCTTCTGGTGCCCAGTGTGATAATCTTGGGGAACAAATGCAATAAAAAAACCCTCATTAGGTTGAATTTGTTTAATTGTTAATTGACTGGAGAGAAAAATACTGAAAACTTATCACAATTTTTTTTTCCAAGTCACTTTCCTTTACGGTAACCCCCATCGTTAATTTTGATAACTCTGACTCTCCTATTCTTGTAATTGAGATTGAGCATTTTGAAGTTCGAACCAATTTGTACTGGACTTGATATTTTGAAGCTGGATTTTTTCAATTGGAAATATGTTTTAGGATTGCTAAAGTAAAAGTAAGTGAAACCACACATGCCTGTCATAGGAGTTTGGAAATTCAATAGCAAATTTCACGTAAGGTAAGTACACAAAAAAATGCCAATGGTAACTTATTTCTTTCTTTCCCGTTAGTGTTTTCTTCTTAGGTATTGACATCTAAATTTTTTCAGTCAAAAAAACAGTAAAAATTGTATGTGACGTATGAGGTCTGATCATCTTCGCATGTTTTCTTGAGTTCCAGAGTCCCTTCTCATCATTTTAACTGTAGTTGAAAGATAAGTAAAATGTGAGTAAAGGACGAGTATCTAAGATGAATAAGTGGCCAATATGAGAAGGCAATAACATTAATTTTGTTGCAGGAAATATATAATTTTAAATTTATTATCTTTAATGATATTTACATTTGCTTGTAAAATTGAAAATGAATATTATATGATTTACATCTACTCACTCAATTTTTTTAACAATAATTAAAGAGTTTCTTAAAAGACCAAATGAAAAAGTTTTAAACTGAATTGTTCATCATTTAGTAGTAATAAAATGAACAAATCAAATAAAAACAATTATGACAAAAATATAAATTATATATGTACAAAAAAAGATTGGATGATGTAATTTTGATAGTTAACAATATCAAATTTTAACAAACAAACAAAATTTCTATCGGTCATAACATTTTCATAAACACATGTCAACCTATTTTACGAAAAATTTCACGTTTAATTTGATTTGTAGACTATACCAATTCCCTCACTGTTACAACTTGCTACACAAACAGTTTGCTCTGAATGTAATGAATGAACTGCAAAATATTCTCTGAATACAAATGCAACATATCTTAATCAATTTATATGACACACTTTCTCTTTTTATTAATTTAACAAACATCTGTAACGCTCATATTTAAACAACTTAATTTGTTTCTCCGAATCATACATAGTATTTGTAACTAGGGACCAGAAAGCTCTTCAAAGAATCTTTTGTGTGAACAATTTCACAAAATATGAAATTATTTTTCATCTTCATAAACTTTCTGTACATATATTTTTTCATATATGTATTAATTTAAAAAGTTCTCACTAAAAGAAAAAACAGCAACACATACACACACACAAGCATACATGGTAGGCAATTGGTCTAATGTAGTGAATATAACGATTTCTTTCAAAAGGAAGAAATAAAAAGTAAACTTAATTTGCTTACAATAATAAATATGAGAAAAATATAATATTCTGTCATAGTTTCAACATTTATCATGCATTGCTGCAATCATAATAACACATTTCTTAGCAATCACAAATCTTTTCATTACAATAAGTAACTCACTCTGGCCACCCAACACTAAAAAAGAGAAAACAATACCATAACAGCACCTATCCTCTAAGTTGTCAAGCTGAACTACTAGCAATTGTTGAACTACACAAATCTATTATAGTGAAAATGTATGTACAATTAAAATTTATTCAATTAACAATGTAGAATTTGTTTGAATAAATGGAGGTCAACTATTGTTAATAACAATGCGAGTCAGTATTCGCAGAACAAAAATTTTTTGAACTGAACGTAACCAGCAGATACAACAGAAACTAATCTTCTGTTTTTTAACAAATTAAAGAAAATCTACCTACTTGCACCTAAATCATGAAGTTAAAAATCCTACGTTCATGCTCGATATGTAATGAAATAAAGATGAGACCATGTTATAAATATTTTTATATAAAATCCTGATAAAAATTGTACTCTCTGTTATTTGTACCTGTTATTATCCCCCAGTTCTTTCCCCAAATTAAATTCTCTTGATTTACAAAAGTGTTATTTATATCTACATATTAAAATTTGAGTATCAAAGTAGTATGCTATTCACACTAAATGATTTTGCTCTATTGACTCAAATTGAGGCATTCCATTAAAAATATAAAACATTTCATTTTTCAGAAATAAATATTTCTGCAATTCCTTTTCTGCACTAGAAATAATGTTGTCCACTGATATTTCACTCAAGAGGTAATAACATAAATGTAAATATTTGTGTTTTTGTACAAATGACACTTCACATCCGGGACGGAATAAACACTTAGAGCTTATTACTAGGACACGCTCTCTTGAGAAGAAATTTCAATGGATGGTTCGTTTTCTACTGATGATTCAGTATCGGAATTCCGAGTATCACTTTCCAATCTTGTGCTTGTCGAACTACATTGAGAATTGGATTTCAGGTCATTTTCTAATTTCTCTTCCAGGACAGCCCATGGATCCTCAAGCATTGATGGGTGGAAATAAGCAGATATATCTACTCTTTGGTTATGATTTCTAAAATTTCCCTAAAAAGAAAACAAAATAAGTTAAAGTTTTGATATTACAAACAAGAATCATAAAATTTAGAAAATCTCATTTGTAAAGTAAGTTCACCGAGATGTTACATAAATGCATTTAAAAAATCAACATTTAAATCTAATCTCAGCTATACTTGACAAATTAATTTTAACACTCAAAGCATATTATTATAACACTAATTTTATTGTGTACATATGTAAAATGTGGCATTTATGAACATGATAACAATGTAAACATTTTCCTTTGCTCACCTTATTTCCTCGACCTCTCCAATGACCATGAGGGCTATTCTGCTTATAGGGAGAGGGCCTTTCTCCTATTCCTGGACTAAAACTACTGTTGTGCCCAGAACTAGTTGAGGTATTGCTCATGAAGCTCCGATTACGACCCCTCCATCGGCCTCTCCCGCGGTTATGTCCTGGAGGGCTAGGCCCAAACGGAATGAAGTCGGAAGAATCGTTTCGGCACATAGGTGAACTTGTAAACGAGGGGGAAAATTGTGGTCTCACGAATTCGCCATAACTTCCGTGTGACCTCACAGGCGAATCAAACGAATTGCTTGAACTCATAATTGAATACATCAATTACACACCACTGGTTGACTATATATCAGTGATATATAAAAACACTATCGCAATATTTCGCAGTAACGTTACGATGGAAAGAAAATATCAAATAGCATCAATCACCTAGTGCATTAGATTCACAGTAATAACAAATACATCTTCCAACAATGGTCAGGAACAACTACCAAATCCTGGCAAACATAAAACACGTTAGTCAATTCTATTTATGTGAAATCTGCACTGACGATATAACAACAGTAACAACCAGAGAACGGAGACAACAAAAACACCATGAACTACACCAACATGGCTACCCTGGTGCTACCTCAGAACAAGCGTCCCCAATGCTACCAACATACAGAAGTGCAATGGAAAATCTTTGCTTGCATTGGTTCACGCTAGTTTAAGCGATTAAATATACGTGGCGGTAGTATCGCCCAACGCGAATGAGAGGTTTTTATGAATTTGAAGCTTAGGTAACTAAATAAGCCCTTTAATTCCACTAAAAATCGTTGATTATCTCTATTTAATAGCATGCATGCAATTAAAACTCCATCGTGAAATTAAAATTCCACAGCTACGTATCAGAATTTAGAAAATAATCAAAATCGTGTAATTAAGACACCATAACAGACGTAGTCAAGGTATTATTATAAGTATGTATAGTATATTTCCAGTCGGCCATGAAACATGAACCAACATGAACAGAAATATACAGCAGATTACGTACCTACAACAACTAGATGTAAATAATGAATGAATTTAACTAAAGTGGTAAAGTTTAGTTAAAAGTATTAAACTAGCTGACTAATGCAACAACATTCAACATTTAATATGAATAAATGAAAGGTTTTTTAATGGAAAACATTTGGCCTCAGCACTACAAATCTAAAAAATGTAAACGCCATTTGTGTTTACCTGTTTTAAAAAGTATGCCAACAAAACTGACAGAAGTGACTTTTTTACTTTTCAATGTTTATACATGTTGTATTCTCTCTCACAACTGTCTTAACTTTTCCTGGGAAGTAATGTTTTAATGTCACTATAGTGATCATACGTATGCGGTTGTGCATGGCCCACTAAAATAGGCCTTTTTCAGAAGCAACACTACATCATTGAGAGTATGCCTTGAATGGTAAAGATGTGCTTGAATTTCTCAAAATTTAAATTATTCTTAAATGGAAATGAAAAAGTATTGAATGTAACATGTGGATAAAGGGGTATAATTGCACTCATGGTAAATAAGAAAACATGCTTCTATCGTCACTCACTTTCTTGAACATATCACTCATGCAATTATATCCGTCTTTACCCACTCATTTTGTTAATTTCTATTTCCTACACTTTTGATTAAATTAGAAACTGTAACCAATGCCTATGCAGTATTTGAATTAGTTTTACTTTCACTTGTCTCATCTATATCTTCCTGCATCTGTTATTGTGAGTGTAACATTTTCATATGTGAGTAGAGGGCACATGAAGTACCCACTCATTTGTTTTTTTAAACATAGTAATATTTTAATTTATAGTTATTGTAAATTATATTGTGTTATGCAAAATATTTTATTAACCTTACATTAAATAGCATAAAAATTAAATAAAATATAATTGAATTTATAATTCATTAATACAAAAATACCTAGGCATTTTCAAAGGAGTATTGGGTAGGTTGCAAATAGTATATAATAAAAACAGCTAGTTTTAATGTAAATAAAAATGAAATAATGGTGTAATTAAAATATTAATAGAAACTGGATGTAAAAAAGTATTGTCAAACATTTTTTTTTTTCTATTCAAGAGATAACTGAATTTTTTTAAATTTCGGGCATCTTTCCTTACTGGAAGTGTTGTTGATGGCAATGATGATATCTATTTATACCTGTTAATAATATAGTAACAAAACTTGCATTGTTTGTATTGGCATCATCAATTTTTTTATTCTTGTAATAAATTTCTTCACTTCACATGTTAGGTATTCAGAACGATAACATAACAATATAAGGTAAACAACATAGCTCAGGACAGTTCATATGGTACACTTATAACTATAGCTCGGAAGTTCAGGCATTTATTTTACTTAAAATAAGTATGCAAAAAGGCATTTATTCTTGCTAATGTAGGGGGTTAAAACACAGGAAACATTAGAAAATAACCATTTAAAAGTGAGTGTAAAAAATTATTAATTAAAATGATCACATTTTTATTTTAACTCACTAATTTAAATTAGCAATTACTTTACTTAAGCCACTACCTTTTATTTGTCATCTTGATTGCCAATGATCATGCGGTATGACAACTTATGAATTCATTTTAGTCGTGATAGTTTCTCTCTGAATTACTATTGTGGACTCCCTTTTGAATCTTGAAATTGGCATTGGTATCAGTGAAAATGGAATTGAAGATTTCATTTTATGAACTCGTGTAATCGCAAGAAGGGACAAGTGAATAAGAAGAAACAGAGCAGGGTATATCATGAACAGACAGTTCTATCCTTAAGAAATCCGAGGCCATTCAAAAACATATGATGATATTTCTGTGAGTGAACAAGTCTGTAAGCATCAATGAAAAATATTGAAAATCTTCACTGGTATCATTTTCATTTCCCTTTTTGGTTTTTAACAAAACCTGTTTCTAGTGCCTTCACTCTAAAGAAAGACAATTTACAGCCGTCTTCAAGTTGTTCAGGTTTCGAGGTATGTTTCCAGCATGATACAGTTGATGCTAGGAGGGAAAAAAGGTAAAATATTGATGAAAAGGCACTACAGAGGCAAAATAACAAAAATAGGCATCAGAAGCGTTAAAGGAAAAAAAGAAAGGAAAAAAAAAAAGAAAGAAAGAAAAAAAACCTACTAAAACAACTCTAGAAGTACAATTAAGTGTTTCCTATTGTTAAAAGTCATAAAATTGTAATAATAATAAAAAGTCATTTTGCCAAACTTCCAGGCTCTACTTATAACAATATAGCACAAAAATAATATATTATTTATCAAATTATGTCACAGTTTTAATTATTTCTTACATTTGGGAATAACTTTTCATCAATGAAAACCAATAAAATAGTAGACATAGGTAACACTAATATAATATCAAAAAGAAAAACAACCAAAGCTCTTCAAAACAAAGCCAACCGAACCATTGACAAGCTAATTCAATGGATCCAATAAAACAAACTAATTATAAACACCAAAAGTTATCACAATCTCTTCCACAACTCCCACTCAACAGAACAAAACTTACCCAATTTCATATTAACGTCAACAGCATCACACCAGTACCCAACAATCCAACATCAAGACAAAATCAAAAGTAGAAGCTATTATCTCAACTCAATTATGCCTTTCGACTCACAACAAGAGGCAGAAGAAGAAAAACAAAAACAACTGTTCCTAAAGATACCAATTCAAAAAAATTAATATAATTCCACTGTCTTGTGCATTCATTTACAAAACTCTCATGTTTGAATACAAAAATCATTACAAATCGTAAGTTTACACTGATATAACTCAAGACAAATATAACCTTCAGCATCCACAGTGCCCAAGCACAGTGTAAGGAAAAAGGTATGCAGAGTGCAAGTTGGCAGGTTTCTCCAGAGGAGGATCTTCAAAACTCCCAGAGGGAACAATCTGAATGAGTTCAATGAATGCTTGACATTGTTTTCTGGTCCAATTTTCTAGATTTGAATATTTAAAAATATGGATCAATTGTTTTCCTGGCAAGGAGACATTAATACTTGTCTAGCTGGGCAACAAACTTTCCAAAAGGGGTCGAACGTCAGGATCTCCCCTGATAATTCACACCCTGCAAGAATTTAATTCTTCAACAAATTACTGAACGTCTGAGAGATATTACAGAATTACACACACTACATCAAGAATAACCTCAAACATATTCTTCGTCAGAAACTTTTCTATAGTGTTCAAGAATGATAGGAGCCATGCCCTCCCCCCCTCAAAAGTCCTTGAGTTTTCGTTGGTTACCTTCCTTTAGTTGGCAAAATTGATTTCAAAATTTATTTATGTTAGAATTATGTTATTATGTGAAAACTATATTGTATAGTATAAAATATACACTTCAAAAATAATATACAATATAATAATTAATGTTTAATATGTAAGAAAAATTTGTGTTGGTCCCCTCCAGAATGATCAGTTGGATCTGCCCCTGGACTAACACGTATGATTGATTTCAGGAGCCGCTATAGAACTTGGTGTAGAAGGGGATAAACTGGCCAAAACCCTTCTCCTCCAGGCACTAGTTAGGCATGTTCACTATCCACTGGACAGACAACATTAAAACTGGTATTCTTTTATCATCATTATTAGATTATAGATACTAGTTAATTTTTTTTTATAATTAATTTTGTTGTACTGTTATTAAGTGGTAGTAATAACCAATCTGAATCATCATACCCAATGGTAATTGTGTATGTGACTCAGTAAATAATATAATTATCTACATTACTAATTTCCCATGCATGCAGAAATTGAAAGAGAACACTCTGTGTGCAGCCTCCAGCCATATGAGAGGTGTCTGTGGTTTCATTAGATAGCCACAAACTTGAGAACAATCCCAAAACAATGAAAGAGGATTAATTTTGTCTGAAAAATGCAAATATTTCATTGTGTTATTCCAATTATTCTCACACTGTGTGTACCGACTGAATTCAAATGGTCAATATGTCACTGCTTACAGTTCAGTTGATGTTAGATTATTGTAAGGTTCTAAGGAAGATGCTATCTGTACTTAAATATTTTCTATTCATGTGTTGCATTATGAAACAGGAACTTTTTTGATATTTTTCGAAGAACTGTTGTACTTTTAGTAGTGTATGTTATAGCAGTATATGTGAAGGCTGTTTTAGTTCAAATATTTATTTTCTTGCAGTGTTATTCAAGAGTATTTTATTTGTTGTTGTTGTTGTTGTTTACTGCTACAGACCACTATATTTAATAAAAGATGAAAACAACTGTTCATGAAGTTGCTCCTAATGTTCATGATCATCCATCACTTCTTCACATAAGAGGACATTCTTACATAATTTCTGGACAAAGAGGTCACCAAAGATTTTTTATTATGTATTTCCAATTTACAGTATGGTGAATTTATAATGTTTTACTCACTTGGATTTTCTAATGTCACTTAATAAAATTGATGTTAGTTTCTTAATAAGAAAAATGTCAGGTGTTCTAATAATTGGCTCACTATTAACAACTACAATCAGTTTTGTAATTCCTAATTATTATTAGAGCACAGGCCATTGCTTTTCCGAAATTCTGATGTTTCACAAAAAACCTATTTTGTATAATTTAATTTTAGATTCAACTTCATTTGCTTCCCAATAATTTATTAGTGG